CCCATCCTTCAGCACAGGAACCCCTGCAAGTGCTAGTGGCCCCAGCATCAAGGGGACAAGGCAAGCAGGTAGGAATGGTCCAGGAGTCTTTCTACTGCCCACTCTCCAATTGTCTATCCAATACCTCCCTATACCCATTCTCAAAGTAGAAATGTCAACTTGGGCAGCCACCCACTCTGGTCCTCCTCTTTTAAAGCTCTGTGAAAGCAAATTGTAAATAAAAGCAATATATTAGGCCTGAGAAGGTCTCATCCTTCTAGGTATAATCCTGTTTTGTCCTGAATTCCCTAGGCCTCTGTGTGTACATACATATACACTTATGTCTCTTCTGTGTGCTTGGGCTCTGCCTCTCTACCCAGCCCTCCATCTCTGCCCCTTACAGCAGCCCCCTTTTCTTCCCATGGAAGGAAGTGGGACTCCTCATTCAAGGCCAGAGAGGGAAGCTCTAGGCTACTCTAGGCAGCTTCCCAGATAAAATTTTGCCAAGTATCAAGGGGAGGGGAGGACAGTCCAATCAAACCAGTTTGACAAGCTAGAAGGTCCCACCCACCTCCACTTAAGATATTCCTATTAAAGAGGCTAAAAGACCTCAAGGAAGGAATAGACGTCGATGGAAGTTTTATAACTATGGGGGTGCCTTCCCTGAGTCTATCCCACTCTTCCAAAAACTCCCAGGGAAATGTTCCTTTCAGCCCACCACCCTCAAGGAGAGAGAAAAGAGGCAAGGAAGGTGGTTTTTCCCTCCCGTACAACGGCTCCCTGTTGGCCTTATTATTCCTGCTGGAGATGTTACCCTTGAATGCGGGGAAACTGCTTGATAAAGCTGTTTTTATGTTTTTCTTTCTGTATCTTTGGCTGCATATTAATAGATAGCTATAAATAAAACACCCTGAGCCCCAAATAAAGAAACTACACAGTAGCAGAGTGCATTGTTTTTAGCACTCTTTGACTTTGGTCTTTCTCAGCTTTTGCGTAATAAAACTTGCAACTCTGCCAAGCCAATAAATTTGGTGTGAGATGTTGCATTTTTGTTCAGGGAAGAAAGTCACTGTGCAGAAAGTCGCTTGACAATGAATAGCAATTAGCTTATTGTGGGCAAGATGAGCCTCTGCAGAGCCTGCTTTAATCCTATGTTGGTGACTGCCCTATAGACAATGCTTTTACGAAATGCTGTACATGGCAATCATTGTGCCCATGCCACACTGCATGCATGTGGTAGCTGGGAATAGACAAAGTTTCCCTTTCCCTTTAATCCAAAAACTAGTGGTTAATATCCCACAGGAAATGGAGGGCCTGAATCAGCTCATCCAATGCATTTAAAAGAAAATGTACAAATGTATGATTTACATTTAGTCTAAATGATTGTGTGATACGATTTACATTTAGTCTAAATGATTGTGTGAGACTCTCTGACCTAGTATTTCTGAAGGTCAGTCAACAGGGAACCTCTTTCACGGTTTCTCCCCCCCCTTTTTTTTTTGCCATATTCCTGTGACATGTGCATTTTCTTGATAACTTTGTTTTTAAGAAAATTGTGGGGTTTTTTACTTGAATAATTTTAGGAATGTGTGTGTTTATGTCCCCTGGTATGTGTGTGTGCGCACACACATGCATAGTATAGGTAGAGGCTAGAGGTGATGTATGGCGTTCTCCTCTATCACTCTCCACATTATTTATTTTTTTGTTGGTACGAGGTCTTTTACGGAACCTGTATCTCAGCCTTTTGGCTCAGCTGGCTGGCCAGCAAGGCTCCTGCACATACCTGTCTCTGGCCTTCAGAATGAGGTTCAGACACAAGCCTCCAAGCCTGGCCCCACATGAATCCTGGGAAATCTGAATTCAGGTTCTCAGGCTTAAAGATCCGAGCCCACTGATCCATCTTCCCAGCCCAGAACATTTTATCGCACTGTTGTCCTCAGTAATAGATATGGTTTAACACATAGGGAATATTCAATGATTATCTGTTCGTTATGGTTTTAGGAAATAATGCTCATCCATAAGCCATGCACCATGATACCAAGGGTGCCATGCTCATCACTCTTAATGATTGCTGTTCCATCCATTGTGATATCACATGGGTCATTAAGGATAAAATTTGTTTCCCTTCTCTGGTTCTGTTTTCAAGATAAACACATCAAATAGCTTCCATCAAAAACGCTCACAAGAGCGTACCTCCAAGGAACAGTCACTCCAGCAAAAATGAGAGAGAAAAAAAAAAAAGACTCACATCTAAAATGTCCCCAGCTAACAGGTCCCCTAGTGTAGTGGCTTTTCACAGCAGGGTTTTGTAGTTGCCCTTGAGCTCCCTTGCTATTGTCATCCTTCTCAAACTTACACGTCCAACACAAGTGTTGGCCCTCAGACCGTGGATGTATATGAGAACATGGGAGCATTACCCATGTTACAATGACAGCCAGTGTCTGCCGGCTGGTCTTTTGCTTTCATCTCATGCATGCCACTCTGATACAGAGGACACCGAGAAAACTACTTCTGCGGGCAGATGAGGCGTCACTTCATTAAGTGGAAAGTGGGGGGGGGCGTGGGGGGGTATTTTCAGCAAGTTTTCTTCCATGTGTCTGAAGGGAGTGTGATGCAGATGGGATACAGTTTGTCTTTTATGGAAACATCAGGACACTTAGTCCATTTGTGGTGACAGGAAATGGGGTCTTTATAGGTGACCAGGCTACTCATGGAGATTAGACCTTTCTCCAGGGAAAAGATGTACAGCAAGGCCTCCCCCCCTGCGCAGCCCCTTCCTTGTGGCCTAGTGTTCTTCCTCCTTCCACTGTGAGGTAAAGCAGCACTGGGCCTTCCCCAGAAGCCTGATAGATGTTGGTGACACGATCTTGGCCTTGCAAACTTTCAAGACTATGAGCCAAATAAAACTGTTTCTTATAAAGCAGCATACACTCAACTACGGTATTGTAGCAACACAGGGGATATGGCTAACAGACTGCATTTTATTTTATTTTATTTTATTTTATTTTATTTTATTTTATTTGGAGACAGGCTGTCGTGTAGTTCAGGCTGATCCCAAACTGGACCTTCTGACCCCCCACCTCCCCCTCCCTCCCCAGGTTCTGGGATCACTTTTGTGTACCCACGTACCTGGTAAAGAACTGAATCTGGCCAAGCATGATGGGTGGACATCTTTCTCTCAGTAGTCTTGAGCAGAGGC